GCATCTGGGAGGCCCAGGTGGGTGGATAGCCTGAGCCCAGGAGTTCAAGACCAGTCTGGGCAACATGGTAAGACCCCTGTCTCCACACAAATACAGAAAAATTAACCGGGCGTGGTGGTGCATGCCTATAGTCTCAGCTACCAGGGAGGCTGAGGTGGGAAAATTTATTGAGCCTGAGGAATCAAGGCTGCAGTGAACTATGATCCGACCACTGCATTCCAGCCTGGGTGACAGAGAGAGACCTTGTCTCAAAAAAAAAATCACATTGAACATTGTAAATATATATACTTTTTGTCACTTATGCCTTATAAAGCTGGGGGAACTAAAAAACTGAGTTTTTAAAATGTGATGCCTCTTATTTTTCTCCATTATTCTTTTATTTGATCATGCCATCATTTTCTGTCACCTTGCAACTTTCTCTCCTACTTTTACCTTCATGTCTCTCTTTGCTCCCACTCCTGTGGTGTGACATCAATTTAAAAAGTCATATTATGCATCTTACAGTGTTAACAGGGAGATTATGAAAGTGTTAGTATACAATGGCCTGAACTAGGTAAACACCTGAATCTTGGAATGCCGAACACCCACAAAGCTGGGCTGGGGCTTCTTACAGATAGATTTCCTAGTCAACTATTAGGGAAATTAGCTGGGTGTGGTGGAGTGTGCCTATAATTCTAGCTATTTGGGAGGCTGATACAGGAGGATCCCTTGAGCCCAGGAGTCATAGACCAGCCTGGGCAACATAGTGGCACCCTCTAATTAGTACGTTATTATTCTCACACTGCTAATAAAAAACATACCTGAGACTGGGTAATTTATAAAGAAAAAGAGGCTGAACGGACTCACAGTTCCACATGGCTGTGGAGGCCTCTCAATCATGGTGGAAGGTGAAGGAAGAGTAAAGTCATGTCTTGCATGGCGGCAGGCAAGAGAGCATGTGCAGGGGAACTACCTTTATAAAACCATCAGATCTTATGAGATTTATTCACTATCATGAGAACACCATGGGAAAACCCACCCTCATGATTCTATTACCTCCCACTGGGTCCCTCAATGCAAGATGAGATTTGGGTGGGAACACAGCCAAACCATATCACACCCCATCTCAAAAAGAAAAGAAAGTATTGGGGAAATGTATTTTGTGCTGTGTGATGGCTTATACCACAGAAAACCCAGATGCAATGTATAAGTGCTGGCCAGTGGACTCTGAATTTTGTTTCACATTCTGCCACATCCTCAGCTATTGCCCCTGGTATTCATTACTATGACTTCCATGTTAAGTCTCTTGCGGGGGGTCCCTCATACATTGCTCTGACCCTACTGGGGTTGCAGTGATTTTCTATAGACTAGACACATCAGTGTCAGTCAAGAGAAACTAATCAGGATGAAATGTCGCTCCCAAACCATTCCTGAACTTTGACTGCCTCTCCAAAGAGAGTCAGAAAGCAGTTTCTTCTGACAGAAAGCAGTTATAACCCATTTTTTTTTTAATATTTGCTTACTGGTTGATTCTTATCAGTTTGCCCCTGCCCCCTAGAAAATAAAGAATACTTGCTAATTTCAAAATAAAAATGCAAGGGTATCTGTAAGGTAACCCAAATGAAAAGTTCTAAAATAAATTACTTCAGAGCTGGTGGGTTTTTAGAATAATTTCTCCTACCATGTCAAGTAAACTATTATTGTCAACTTGTTTTTATTCAGCAAAAAGCCAGCATTTTAATTTTAAAAGAAAGGAAACAAATATCTTTAAGATTAAGACTCTTATTAGAAGACTGTAAATCAGGCCAGGCGTGGTGGCTCACTCCCAGCACTTTGGGAGGTCAAGGCAGATGGATCACCTGAGGTGAGGAGTTTGAGACCAGCCTGGCCAACATGGTGAAACCCCATCTCTACTAAAAATACAAAAATTAACCAGGCGTGGTGGCAAGTGCCTGTAATCCCAGTTACTAGGGGGCTAAGGCAGGAGGATCACTTGAACCTGGGAGGTGGAGGTTACAGTGAGCCAAGATCATGCCACTGCATTCCAGCCTGGACAACAGAGCAAGACTCCATCTCAAAAAAAAAAAGACTGTAAATCAGTGGCTTGTGCCTGTAATTCTAGTACATTGGGAGGACAGGATGGGAGGATCACTTAAGCCCAGAGGTTGAGGCTGCAGTGACATGAAATCACAACAATATACTCCAGCCTGAGTGGCACAGCAAGACCCTGTCTTAGGAAAATTTAAAAAAAAAAAAAAAGACTCTTTAGAATTTGAAAAACTCTTTAGAAGTTTTCCTGAGGGAAAAAAACAAAAACAAACAAATTTTTTTTTAAAAGTTTTCCTGAGAAGCCTCACATTTCATGCTCATAGAAAGGACTCTTGGACTATAGCGGTCAACTAAATATTAGGAGAAAAACAAAACCTTATGTAATTATCATGGTAGCATACAAGATGCTAAAGATGCTTAAATAAATAAATGCCCTAGTTGTATAGCAGAATGGCTATAAGACCCCACCAGTCAACAGACAATTACACTAAGGATGTAAAAGATAGGATGGGAAAAATATAAAATTATATCCCCCCAATGGGGGAAGAACTTTTCCCAGGAGAAAAGAAAAAAATTTATATCTCAATTTTCATATCATGTTCCCCTGTACTTTAAATAAGGTATCATCCTAGATTAATAATTTATGTGCAGACTTATGACATACTTTAAATTGTCTTAGCTTTAGTGATAAGCTTCCTAAGAATATTTTTTTTCTTTTTTTAAATAGGGTCTTTCTGTGTCACTTAGGCTAGAATGCAGTGGTGACATCACAGCTCACTATAACCTTGGATTCCTGGGCTCAAGTCGTCCTCCCACCTCAGCCTCCTGAGTAGCTGGGATTACAGGAGCATGCCACCATGCCCAACTTTGACGGTTAACACTGAGTGTCAAACTGATTGGATTGAAGGATACAAAGTATTGATCCTGGGTGTGTCTGAGGGTGTTGCCAAAAGAGATTAACATTTGAGTCAGTGGCTAGGAAAGGCAGACCCACCCTGAATCTGGGTAGGCACCATCTAATCAGCTGCCACCATATTAGAATATAAAGCAGGCAGAAAAATGTGAAAAGAGAGACTGGCCTAGCCTCCCAGCCTACATCCTTCTCCTGTGCTAGATGCTTCCTAGCCTCAAACATCGGACTCCAAGTTCTTCAGTTTTGAGACTTATACTGGCTTCCTTGCTCCTCAGCCTGCAGATGGCCTATTGTGGGAGCTTGTGATTGTGTGAGTTAATACTTAATAAATATAAAGGGGATATATATATATAAAGATTATATATATATATACATATATATATTTATCCTTAGGAAGCCAGCCTCTCTCTTTCTCTCTCTCTGTCTCTCATATATATGTGTATGTGTGTGTGTGTGTGTGTGATATATATATATATCTCACACACACATATGTGTAGGTGAGATCTTTTTTAAAATTATATATGTGTATATATATATATATATATATATGGGCTGGCTTCCTAAGGAGAAATACACACACACACACACACACACACACACACACACGTACATATATGTGTATATACATAAGCTGGCTTCCTAATATATATGTGTGCATATACATATACAATTTAAAGACCCTTCTTAGTTTTTGGATCACAATAAAACAGGCAGCTGGTCATATAGAAATAGACAGAGGGCTGATTTGGCCTGAAAACTATAGTTTGACATTGTTCTGTAGTAGGGTACCCCCCGCAAACCCATGACCTCAGACTGGTACCAGTCTGTGGGTACCAGTCTGCAGCCTGTTAGGAACTGGGCTGCACAACTGGAGGTGAGCAGCAGGGGAGCCAGCATTACTGCTTGAGCTCTGCCTCCTGTCAGATCAGTAGCAGCACTAGATTCTCATAGGAGCAAGAACCCAATTGGGACTTGCACATGCAAGGGATCTAGGTTGTGAACTCCTTATGAGAATCTAATGCCTGATGATATGATGATATAATGAACTGATGAACAGTTTCATCCCGAAACCTTCCTCCCCTTCCCCCCAACTCCACGTCCATGGAAAAATGGTCTTCCATGAAACCAGTACCTGGTGCCAAAAAAGTTGGGGATTAAGGTGTGTAGGTAAACCTTTTCTCTAAAAGAGTCTCTACCTGGCTGGGTGTAACACTTTGGGAGGAGGAAGACTCTACAATATGGCATACCTACTGTTTTGGTTTTGTTTTGTTCTTTTTTTTTCCTTCAACTTTTAAGTTTAGGGGTACATGTGCAGGACGTGTAGGTTTGTTACATAGGGTAACGTGTGCCATGGTGGTTTGCTGCATGGGTCATTTCATCACCTATGTATTAAGCCCAGCATCCATTAGCTATTCTTCCTGATGCTCTCCCTCACCCAACAACCTGCCTCCAAAGGGCCTCACCTTGTCTTATTCCCCCCATGTCTCTATGTGTTCTCATCATTCAGCTCCCACTTGTAAGTGAGAACATGTGGTCTTTGGTTTTCTTTTTTTTTTTTAACTTGTATTAAACACATGTTTATTTACAACATGGAGAGAGAATAAGGGGCAATTAAGGCCATTTTCTCTTGTGAAACACTGCAAAATATGTACATAAGTACAACCTAATATAGGCAAAGATTCTTAAAATCATCTTTCTTGGCTTCCCGTAATTGAGTGTCAGTCGGGGAGTGGAGAAGGGGCTGCCAATAACACCAGGCCACGCAAAAAGGGCATGTGGGTTCCCGTTTTCATCCAGCCGCCCTCAAAGCCGCTGCCACCGCCATAGGGCCCTGCACAGCCCAGGTGTGCGCCACCCCCAAGACCGGCCTGAATGAAGCGCATGTCACCGGCCCCCCAATTCCATTTCCAAATCCACCAAGATCCAGTCAAAATATATTTCCAAAAAGAACCCTACCAAAGGGCCACTTGCACTAAGGGAGTGCACCCAGGGGTCACAGGGCAGCCATCAGGTACCTCCCCGGGAAGGGCCTGCGACCACCAGTCACTGCAACCCTGCCTCACCTCCGATGCCTGCTGTGCCCAGGGTGGTCCCGCTCGCAGCGACAGCTGGTGCGTTGGTACGACCTGGAGAGCTCCCGTCGCTGGTCTCTGTAGTAATGACTTTTCTTTTTGTATTTCCCCGGATTACCCACCCGCTCCCTTGACCTGCTTCGAGAACAGGACGGGCTCCCGCTCCGAGACTTGTGTGGTTTCTGGGGGGGGATACTTGCAGTCCGAATCTCAGAGCTTTTGTAGGGGGTGCTGCGGGGAGCCTGTCTCGGTGGGGAGTCACTCCGGCTCCGGGAGCCGCTCTGCGACTTGGACCCACCAGACGTGGAGCCGCTGTCACTTTTCCTCCTCTTAGGTGAAGCCGATCTCGATGGATACCTGGAGTAGTTCTGCTCACAGCTCCGGCTCCGACTTCGACTCTCTCGCCCTTTGGCAAGCCATTAACGGGGCTGCCCGCCTTGGCCTTCTTGGTGCCCTCTGCCCTCCTCTTGCTGTTCTTCACAGAGAGTGGGGAAGGCTTGTTCCCCTTACCTTCTGTGGGGGATTCCGCCAGCTTGGACGCCGGTGAGAAGCCCGCGCGCGGTGCCATCGGGAACCTGAGTACCCCCGGGCAGCAGGCCCTGGGCTTGTGCCTCCTCCATGGCGTGCTTCCTCTTCTCCACCTCACCTTCCAGGTGTGTGAGATCAACCTTTTTCCGAGCATAAAGCTGCAAGATCTTTAAGCAGATTTCCCTAAGTTCTTCTTCAGTTGCTCCAAACAAAAGAAACCAATGAGGACGATTGGGCAGAGATCTCCAATGTCCGGGCAGCAAGATAAATGCAGGCACAGGCAATGCTCTGAGGCTGGAACCGCATGAATACATCTGTGCGAAGGCTGTCGTCCATGTAATTCCATGAGGTCTGGGCCAGGTGTTGGTTACGCTCACACTCTAACACCTGAAGGTACATAACGATTATCTTGTGAGGGTGCTTCACATGGACGCAGAAACCCAACTCTTTGAGAACTCGTCTTTCCGCCTTTATAATTTGGTTCTTTAAATTAACATAATCTTGATCCAGTAGCAGAGGCACAGGCTTCTTTTTCTCTCTCAGCTGTCGAAGGTGGTGAAACCCGTTGACGGCGTCCCGTATGCCTCTCGGAGCCTCTTCTATCTTGGAAGCCAGGTGAACCCAGGCTATTGACACATGCTCCATGGAATGCTTCACGAAGGACTTGGTATAGAACCGCTGGAACAACACCTGCTCGGTGTCCATGGCCACCTGACGCAGACGGAGCAGGATGCCGGCCGCCTGGATGAGCTTGCAGCCTACCATGCGGAGGTCGGTCTCCGTGTCTGTGTCGAGGCCGCTCGACCTGGACGGCGTGAAGCGGAGCTTGTCGTCAGGTAGGAGGCAGTTTTCCAAGGTGATGAGCACCCCGGAGTATAGCAGGTCCCCAGTCAGCGCACCTCGCGACCCGGCGACTGAGCCCCCAGAGCCCGGGATACCGGCTGCTGCTACAGGAGCTGCCGACCCCGCAGCCCCAGCCACCGCCACTGCCATTTTGGGCTGCCTGGTCTTTGCTTATCTGTTCCTGAGTTAGTCTGCTGAGGATGCTGGCTTCCAACTCCATCCATGTCCCTGCAAAGTACATGATTTTATTCCTTTTTATGGCTGCATAGTATTCCATGGTGTATATGTACAACATTGTCTTTATCTAGTCTGTCATTGATGGGCCTTTAGGCTGATTCCATGTCTTTGCGTATATTCATTGCAGCAATATTCACAAGGGCATACCTACTTTTTATCATAGTATGCACATTACCTTCCACGGCCAATAGTTGAAAAACTGTGAAATTTCTTTTTCAGTTCCTCCTCTCTTCCAGAGATTTCCTTTCCCCTCTCTGGTTTCCCTATAGCTGTCTAGGGTCATCTCCTCACTTAACATTCCACTGGGGACTATCTACACGTATCCTTCAAAACAGGAGTTCTTAACCTGATGCAAGAGGCCCCGTGAATTTAATGCAAAACGTTGGGGGAGAAATTTCAAGGGAAATGATTCAAAATTGCAACATACTCTCAAATAATTAATTCATGATAAAAGGTTGACCTAAAACTAAAGACCTGTTTTAGGTCTTTTCTGCCGTGTTTTGTTTTGTTTTGATAGTAGAGTCTCACTGTTACCTAGGCTGACGTGCAGTGGTGCAATCTGGGCTCACTGCAACCTCCAGCTCCTGGGTTCAAGCAATTCTTGTGCCTCAGCCTCCTGAGTAGCTAGGACTACAGGCATGCACCACCATGCCTGGCTGTTTTCTATTTTTAGTTTCACCATGTTGGCCAGGCTGGTCTCGAACTCCTGACCTCAAGTGATCCACCTGCATTGGCCTCCCAAAGTGCTGGGATTACAGGCATGAGCCACTGCGCCTGGCCTTCTCCAGTATTCTTTAAACCCACCTGTCCTGTTTCCCACTCTTCAGAACCATGGATTCTGCTTTCCAAGGTGAAATCAGTAAGCTAAGAAATTACTTTGCCCTCCTTCCTTTCCCATCCTTTTAATATATGTGCACTCTAATCGTGTCTTAAAAGTGATGCTCAAACACAAAGTTTCACTTTTAAAATTACAAGCATTCTGGTGGGCTGAAGTTTTCCTGGTGCGCCTCAGAATACTCATATACAGTCCTTTGACATGCCCTGCCATTCTACGATCTCTCCTTTCTTTTACTTACCTCTTCCATTTCTTACCAACCTCCTCCTGATTTCAGTTACCCTCTCTGCTAATTTACATTTTTCCCCCAAAAGAAGTTTATGAGTTAGGCCTCCTCCCATGAGCTTCTGTCTCTACCCCACCACCTCTTCCCTTGCGGTATTGTGATTGCTAGCTAATTGGCATGACTTCCCCTGACAAGCTCCTGGGAGCAGGCACTGTGTTTTGTTCACTGTTTTAGCCTCTGTGCCTAGCATACATACAGTTTAGATTAACCATTCTATGAGGATATGAATAAAATCTAGTTTAGATTAACCATTCTATGAGGATATGAATAAAATCTCAACCAGTTGGCTGGGCGTAGTGGCTCACACCTGTAATCCTAGCACTTTGGGAGGCTGAGGTGGGTGGATCGAGGTCAGGAGTTCAAGACCAACCTGGCCAACACAGTGAAACTGTCTCTACTAAAAATACAGAAATTAGTTGGGCATGATGGCTGGTGCCTATAATCCCAGCTACTCAGGAGGCTGAGGTAGGAGAATCGCTTGAACTCAGGAGGTGGAGGTCCCAGTGAGCTGAGATTATGCCATTGCACTCCAGTTAAGGTGACAAAGCAAGACGCCATCTCAAAAAAAAAAAAAAAAAAAAATCTCAACCAGTCACGTAGCTAAGTACCCCACAGATCCACCATGTGCTCCCAGAGCCTAAGTGCCATTTTCACCTAAGTTCACAGCTTCATTCTTTGCAATGTCCTTACCTGCCATTCACCAAAAATTCAACTACCTTCACAAACCAGACACTTCCAGTTCTAGACAGATGCAGTTAATATGTGTATATGGCATCTCATAAATCTCTAATAGGACAGTTTGTCTGTATCATACAGTGTTACTGGACCACAGCAACAAAGAAGCACTAGTCTAATTATTTATTGACTTCAAATCAATAATTCATAGCCCTTTTGCTCCTACATACAGAATCCATTGTTCAAGTAGAGTCATCATCTATAAACATGACAAGGACTCCAGGAAAGCTATTTTTTAAAAATCTACTTGTCAATAAAAGAAATTGGGAGGCAGGGCAAATTGTTTAAATGTATAATATTCTTAACAAAATGGCTAAAAGCCCCATAACATTCTTATTTCTTCATGGCATTTCTAGAGCACGTAAATAGTATTTTTAAAGCTCAAGTAGTTTAGTGATTACATTATCCGATATCCCAATCATTCGCCCCCTTTTTTCCTTAATTTTTTCTTTCTCTAAATTCCGTGCTTGCTGAGGTTGATCACTGCCCTGTTGGAAGGAGACATAAATTGGAGTCACCAGAAACCAAGATGCAGGCCGGGCGTGGTGGTTCACACCTGCAATCCCAGCACTTTGGGAGGCTGAGGACAGCAGATCACGTGAGGCCAGGAGTTTGAGACCAGCCAGACCAACTTGGAGAAACACCATCTCTACTAAAAATACAAAAATTAGCCAGGCATGGTAGCGGGCGCCTGTAATCCCAGCTACTCGGGAGGCTGAGACAGAGGTTGCAGTGAGCTGAGATCATGCCACTGAACTCCACCCTGGGTGTCAGAGAGAGACTCTGTCTAAAAATAAGAAAAGAAAAGAAACCAAGATGCATGTGAATGGGATGACTGGGATGCTTGGATATCAGGGGAGGAGGTGCCTACGCAGATGGCAGCTCTGAAAGTGACTATAGTCTTTATTAGGTGGATACTTTGTCCTCTCCCTCTACCTGACAGTTTGTTGCCTGCCAGCCCCCACCAGAATATAAACTTCAATAGACCACTGTTTTGCTCTGTACTGTATCTTTTCTCCCTAGAATAGACCCAAGTAGAGCAGATGCTTAGTAAATATAATTACTGGGGAGATGGTGTCTCCAGTACATAATCGCTTGAGCCCAGGAGTTTGAGATCAGCTTGGGCAACCAGGCAAAACCCTGTCTCTACCAAAACACAAAAATTAGTCAGGCATGGTGGCGTGCACATGTAATCCCAGCTACTTGGGAGGCTGAAGTGGGAGGATCACTTGAACCTGGGAGGCGGAGGTTGAAGTAAGCCAAGTTGGCACCATTGCACACCAGCCTGGACCACAGAGCGAGACTCACTCTCAAATAAAATAAATAGATAAATTTTACATTAACATAGAGCATATACTCTACCACACATATCTAAAACTAAAGTTTTACCAAACAATACTTCTATATGTTTTCTAGTCTTTCTTATCCTTTATTATTATGATTGCTTGGCTGTTGCTATTTTTGCTGGTCTCAGACCACCACTAATTTCACGCACAACCCACAAAGAAATCAGAAGCTGCAATTTGAACAACACAGGCATGCAGCAGCTTCAGTCCTGCCCCAGCTGCTCCTGATTGTCAGTCAGTAGACGCTTCCACCAAGGTGAAAGTGGTAGGAAAAAAGAGCAGACTCTCTAGGCAGAGTCTTGAATGCAAACACTAGTTCCGTCCAGGGAGCTAGGGAAAATAACAGTCTCAGTTTTCTGGAAAAGGAAACTGTGGAAAGGAACAGCCTCTTTATCTGGAAAAGGAGGTTATCAGATCTTTGTGGGGTTTTTATAAAGACTAAATAAGACTGGTCATGGTGGCTCATGCCTGTAATCCCAGCACTTTGGGCAGATAGCTAGAGGTCAGGATTTGAGACCAGCCTGACCGACATGGTGAAACCACTTCTCTACTAAAAATACAAAAATTATCCAGGCACGGTGGTGCATGCTTGTAGTCCCAGCTACTTGGGAGGCTGGCAGGATTGGCTTGAACCCAGGAGTCGGAGGTTGCAGTGAGCCAACATTGCCCACCACTGTACTCCATCCTGGGCAACAGAGCAAGAGACACTGTCTCAAAAAAAAAAAAAAAGACTAAATGAGCGGCATATAAACAGGGTTTCTCAACTTTGGAACTATTGACATTTTGAGTTGAAGAATGTTTTGTGTGGAGACTGTCCTGTGGACTGTACGAAGTTAAACGGTATTCCTGGCCTCTATCCATTAGATGCCAGTAGTGCTCCCTCCAGATGTGACAATCCAAACCATCTCTTGGCATTGCTAAATCTCCCCTGGGAGACAAAATCACCCCAGATTGAGAGTCACTGGTATCTGTAAAGCATCTGCCACAGTCCTTGGCCACTATTATTACCCTAATCCTTCTTGCTTTGAAGAAACTAGAATTGAGTCTATGGGAGAGGACATACAGGACGCACAATGCCAAGCTGTGTCCACCATCATAAGAGAGGATATGACCACTGTAGTGGCAGAACGATAGGCGTGAACTGTGTCAGCATGGCCATCATGAGGGGTCAGACCAAATCTGGAGCTGGAGGAACATGATATGGCCAGAAGTCTATGGAGGAAGGTGCATTACAATGGGGGCTGTGGGAAGAGGAAATGAAGAAAGGAATGGGTAAGCAGAAGCAGGGCCTGCTGATGACTGAATGCGGAAAGCAAAAGAGACTAGAGCAAAAGCCCAGCAGGCATCCCTACCAGGCACAACATGAATGGGGACAGTAGGAATGGGGTAGCAGAAGAAAGGCTTAAAGCTGATGATAAGCATGCTAGGTGCGGAAGTGACACATTCCTGGCTAGAAGGCAGAACTCCAGACCTAGGACACAGCTCATGGTTTCAAAGGATATCTGAAGTCATTTCTTCGTCTGCAGAAAGGTGGAGGAAGGAATCTCTTGAGTCCTGCAACAGTGGGTGTATTTCCTTAAAGAGTAAGCCATAATATTTGAGTTGTGCAAAAATATTGGTAAGGAAAAGATGAGCAAACTAAACCATAAATCAAATAAAATTATTTTTATGTATAGTTCTTTTACACATTATTTATTTGAGATGGAATTTTGCTCTTGTT